TAAAAAAAAAAAAAAAAAGAAAATATATTTAAAAATTTAAATAGAACATATATATAGATAATTAAATTTAATGCGTTCAATCTTAATGCGAATTATATAAAATCAAAATAATGTCATATAAAAAATATTTAAAAAATGCGAAACACATATATAACTTTTGAAACAATAAACACTTAAGAATATTTTTGGGTTCTAAATCAAAATCTAAAAAGATTTAAAAAAAGAAAAAAAATTTTAATATCCCGAAGTAAAGTTTGCTATTTCATTTTGTACAATTTCGTATTCGTAACATTAATTTTTTTAAGATGGATTATATATAATATAATATGGTTTATATATAATACAAGAAATGGCAATATAACACGGTGATTAATATATACTTACATAGAATTTGTTACGAAATTATATGAATATTTTTCATGCACATGATTCTCGTAATGACTTACATAATAAAAATTTATATATTTAACACAGAATTTATTTATTTATTTATTATTTCCATGTTGTTTTACTTCGTAGAATACTTTACGGCATCATAATGTGTAACCTGTTTGAAACAGAAGTTTTGATCTAGAGTGCAAAAAATTATTCATTATATCGATCCAATGATTATTTTTTAATAAATTAAAGTAAAATATTATAATTATGTATATTAAATTATTCAGAATGTTAATAATTTATGGAGCATCTTTGAAGAATCGATTCTAGAAGTCAAAATAAATATAAAAGATATACAAAAATACAATCGAATCAACTCTATATATTTATAATTATGAAAAAGATATTTATCACAAATTATATTTTGTATTAAATAAAATCATGGATATCATACTTGAAAGAGATAAATTATGTAAATATTGATTTTTGAATTTTCTTTTACATGATTTTTTAATTTATACTTTAAAATTCTATATACTAAAAAAATTCGTTTTTAATTTATACTTTATATTTATATTTATAATTTATATTATATATTTTTATTAAGCATTAAGCATATAAAACAATTTAATAAATAATAAATTAAATTAAATTAAGTATATCTAAGAATTTTTTAAAATACGATATAATTTTTTATAATTTTACATTTTTAAATAAAGAAGAAAGAAAATTGTCCTTCTCAATCCATCATCAGCATTTGATGAATTGTCTCACTTTATAATACGAAATAAAATTACTTATTTGATAAACAATAACTTAATAAACAAGTCTCAATAGATATTTTTATATATTAATTTTTGTATTTGTTTTAACCTTTAGAATCCAAATATATTTATTTTAATATAACGAATATTGAATCCAAAGATGTTCCACAATCTATAAAAAATCTAACTAAAATATAATTGATGCTTACATGTTTATTATAAAAAGAGTATATAAAGACTTTAGTTTAAACAAACTGATATACATAAAAAAAATTAACATAGATATTTATAATACCTTAAGGAATTAATAAACTTTGCAATTATAACTCGTGCATATTTCCCAAACTTTTACTAACCGCCAACTTAAACCCCAAATAGAAATTGTTGAAAATTTTGAATATATGTATAGAAATATACATATAAAAACAATAAAGTTTTATGAAATTATTCACGGAATGTTAGTAGTTATTCACATGTCCATAATTCAAGGTTGAAGTCAAACTCCTTGTATCTCACCAAATATACTTCCGCTTTAGCCATAAGTGGAATACATTTTCTCATAAAATGATTTCTTTTTTCTATTAGATCTGGATACTCGACAGGATCAAAAGCATGAGGTTTCATGATAAAATCTAATTGCTTCTTTATATACTCCAAGTATGATTTTATTATACGATAATTGACTTGATTAGGCTCCTCTTTACTTATCGTTAACCATACAGTTTCAAATTCGTTTATCATACTAAATGCTAAGTGAATATCATTTACATCAGCATTGGTGTTCATGTTGCTAAATTAAAATGAAGAATTATATAATGTTCTATTGACAATGATATTTTGTCTATATCAGTATTTCTTGATTTTTCTTTACTCACCGATAAAGATTTATCTTTTTAGATAAATTGAAAGTAGATAAATTTTCTAATCAGTAAATTTAATCAGTGATAATTTAAAAAATTATCGATCGATATTATGATGAAAAATTTTTTAAAAATTATTTCTAACTGACGAAGATACCGTTGTGATGAATTATGACTATGAACTGGAAAATGAACAAATAAAGGAATCCTCGTTTGTCTCCAACTAAAATACAAGTACATGTATTGTTTACAAATATTAATAACTGACACGAAATATTATTATTTATACATATCTTATTCATATTAAGATAATATACACTGTTGGCTAAAAATATAAAAACAATAAAAACATTTTCATAAGATAGAAAATGTGTAAATTTCGATATTATAATTTTTTTATAAATAGCAATATATAATAAATCATGTAAAATTACATTATAGAATTTTTATATGATATAATTACAATAATTATTAAGTTTAGTTACTTTTCTCAATATTACTCTATTTTTTTTTAAATTCTATCTCATTATTAAAAGAAAATTATTATTTTCAATTGGAGAATATGAATTTATTTATTTATTGTTCTTTTTTTGTTTTTCTGTTATTTCTTCTATTATTTCCTCAGCATAATTTTTTAAAATCATTTATCAATATTATTTTGAAAAACATTTAAATATTTGAATTCTATCTTTATTTTAAAATTTGTTTAAATGAATTTAAATACTAATTAGATAAAAAAAAAATTATATGAAAAATAGATTATATTTTGTTATATTTCATGTAATATCTTTTAATTATTTTTAACTTTATATTAAGTTGACTCCTGATTATTGTTATATAGTTCTTTTTATTTTTCTACAGAATTTATAAAATAATGAATCAATTTACTTCAATATTTTTTCAGATTATTAAATTATTATATTTTATTATATTTTCGCAGATTAATAAAAATTCAATTTATATAAAAAAAATTATATATAAAATAATAAAATATCAAATATATTATAGTTTTTATATATATAAAATATATGAGAGAAAAAGAGAGAGAGATAA